ACACAGTACTTCTTTCCAAAGTGGCTCAACATGTGATTTCCATACTCAGTAACATCCTATTTGCCATCAGGTCCCATCTGAGATAATGCCACTCCAGTTCCTATTTCGCTCGTATTTTCAGTTACCGGAATTTGCCGATGTTTGGCAGTTTTAATACAGGTGCTGAGTAAATTGTATCTTTCATAGCATCGAATGGTTTGTGACGAATATCCGGACACTCAGATTCTATATTTTTCTCCGTTAAACACATAAGGAGACAATCCGTTTCTGCATAGTTCTTTGCAAAACGACTGTAGTAATCCATTAAACCGAGAAAACTGCGTACTACATCAGGTAAAATTGGTTCATGCCGATTCTTTATGGCAGCCACAGTTTTCAATTCACCACGAACACCGTCAAGATCGGTTATATGACCATAAAAATCTATTTTATTACGTGGTAGGTTGCCCATAATAAAGTGAAGCACTAACTCGAGACGGCAAAGATGTTTTTTCTTGCAGGTGCTTCTGGAAACAACAGTATACTCCCAACAAATCGTGCACACCTTCGGGACTGAATCTTTCTGAAAATTTGAACGATTCCTTGAAGTTTATTTGCGTTCTTTTCTACAAAACGTCAATAGCCCTGCTGTTTTCATAACAGCGCTTGAGGCTGTCTGGAAAGCGACGTTCGTTGTCAGTCTTGCAGACGACTGCTAGATTACACAAATGAAGGAAAGAGTGCAGTCCGCTTCAACATCAGTTAGTCCTTCAACTAGTTCCCCATCGATGGAAATAATAACAAAAAGCAATTCGCTAATCATATGTACGCCAGTGCCGGTTAGCATTAAAAAATGAAATGACTCACCTAGAGGTGATTTGGCATGGCTGCTAGGTTCTTGAGTTTGTTGACTGTGTGGCCTGCCTAGGGACATGAAATAGATATCGTCTTAGGCCGTTGTGTTGCGTTTAAGTATCCAGTGTCTACTGTTGTATCGATTCAGTGGAATACCTCGACAGTTGTTGATGTGCTCAGCACAAGTTCGGTCTGATGTTTTTGGTATCCTTCCAACATGTAGGATCAATTCTTTTTGTTTAGTGGTCAGCGAGGCGTCTTCAACCGCCATTTACCACTCCTTTTTCACTCGTTCTCATAGTTCATCATTTACCAGCCCCTCTGTGAACTGTTGCATAGTAAAGTTTTGTCTTTACGTCGGCGACTCCTCAGGAAAAGCCAACAGAGAGGATGATATTCTCCATTTTTCATCTGGCAAGGCGTCTTGTATATGGACGAAACTATTGACTAACCATGGCGTGAAGTGGAAGATCGCCTTACGAGCTGTGCCGTTTTATCGGTGCTTTCCTCTGGATGGTCTCTATGCTACAAGGTGTGCAGCACCGGCGTATTATTCATATCTGTAACAGTTTTTTGTGTGGTATACAGGCACGTAGTATGAGGAAGATTCAGCGCGGGAACCTTTTATATGAATGACGATTAAAAGTTACAATTACGTTTAGAAACACAATTATTTCAGTGCGGTTTCTGAATAATGACTAGCTAGTATCCAGTAACATGCTTAACATTAGGGCCAAATCTTTCTTCAAAAGCGTCATACATGTGCATCCATCTAAAAACAAAGTTATAAGCTAACACCTAACAAGGTCTGAATCTGTGCGGATAATGTCTCAAAAAGAATAAATCAGTTAGTATAACTGGATATAGATTGGATTTAAGCACTTCCGTACAGGATTACGTTGGGGCACACTGATTGTCTATTCCTATCCAATCAGCACTAGTGGACAGATTAAGAAGACTCAAGAATATTCATATGTAGAAACCATTAAAATACTAATACTTTTCTTATTGTGATTCCTACTTCCATCCATCCTTTTGTATCGAATACAGTTACGTTCCTGTTCAACTGTTTTCCGATTTGGGAGCTTGTCGAGTGAAGTAGTGTGCACGAATACTGAGAAAAAAGGTATCTGGGTCGTAATAAATGAAATTATAAAAGTTCGTTTGTTTTGAAGCCAGGGTAAATCGTATGAACACAGCGTAGTACTAGAGGCTAAGAGTTATTTTCGATGCAGTCATACGTGAGTCTAACAAAATACATGTAATATATGATCGGAATGGCTCTCCTAATATTATTCTTAGGATGCTCACTGTTTGACAAAACGGTCTATGTAACATAGCGATTTGTAATGAAGTTATTTACAATGTAACGTCTTTACGAGCAGTAACAATGTAACGACACCGCATCTGTCTACAAACAATTTAACACATGGATTGTCGCCAGTTCCTCCAATGAAATTAAAGATCAATCATATAAGACAAAAGAACAAGTAAGGTTTCATTCTGAAATACGAATCGACGGAGCATAGCACCAACTATAACTGTATCTCCAGATTTCTAATGAAAATTCTTGCCATCGAACACTATCATTTCTCCTAAGATATTCAGGTTGCGAAATCAGAACATAAATTTGTAATATAATAGATTGCAACTATTAATCCACACCAACTTATGATCATCGATATCTATTATTTGGTTATAGAATTTGAACTCCGAAAGTTATACTACAAATAAGCTTTCACTCAAAAGTCGAAAGGAATCTTAATCTCATGTTGCATTGAGTGGATGTAAGATATAGGTTCCTTCAGGCGATATTCTGAGATTTTCCCCTAAGTCTTCGGTTAGCCGAAGTCAGAACCAGTAAGCTATTCGGCTTGTTAAACTTTGTCTATTACTAAAACATGTTGACACTGTTAGTATAGAAACGAAAGATGAATGTCAGAATTGTTTTTAAGGATATTATAGTTGTTTTCGTGGATTAGTTGAATTTAGACACTAACACCGTCGGATGTTTACTCACTGCTCTAGAGGGTGAGCGTTCGCGCGCGAGACCGATAAGTCTTGAGTTTGAGTCTCGCAAGGCGAGATCGTGCATGCGCTATCCTTAGGAGTAACACAGTAGGACGAAACGGCTGTCCAGCGTTTCTAGGCCTGCTAACTTACATGGGATGTTGAGCACGAACTTCTCACTCGTGATCTAGTGCGGATGTATGACCGAGCGCCCTCAGCCATGTGAGTCGATTAAAACTAGTGTGACCGGCATCCAATGCAGAAGACTTACAGAGCTGTTTATTTTGAGGATTTATTTACCGCCACACTCTTTATGAGTAATTGAGATCTTCTAAGGATATTCACCCTTCGTTCATAGTCTTTTAGTCCTGTGCCTGTTCATCTTAATCACACAAAGTAGTTTCTTCCTCTCAATTTGTTTTTAACTTTTATTTATATTAGTGGTAGCGAGGAGGTTTCCAGGTTTCCAACTTACATTATTATTAGTATAGGGGTTGTGGAGATTAATAGGTTTTTGATTGAGATCAAGAACCGATTGATGTTAGACCATCACAATTGAAAACCTGGAGGCACTAAACAGCCATTTCGTCCTATTGTGGGACTCCTCAGCAATGCGCATCCACGATCCCGCCTCGAGAGATTCGAACCCACGGCCTTCGGTCTCGCGCGCGAACGCTTAACCAACTGGACAGCTGAGCCGGTATCCAATGGTGATAGTTTCTAACATCAACCAATCCACGAAATTGCGCGACCAACTTCCGTTGTACTGAGGTAGATACCTGTCTCTACCCGACAAGGATTAGCTCCACTGGTCACGGCTTCTCACTAGAACTCCGAGAATTCCCTCACGAAGCTAGTCACTAGTGAGCACATGTAGATTACTAGAATAGGAGTTGTGGAGATTGTTAAGTTTGTGATTGAGGTGGTTGAGGTTAGACATAACACCATTGGATGCCGGCTCAGTGGCCCAGTTGGTTAGGCGTTCGCGCGCGAGACCTAAGGCCCTGGGTTCGAATCCCGCTTGCGGGATCGTGGATGTGCACTTACGTTACTATGTTATCACCTAACGCGATTTATTGAATTATTATATAAGATACTATTCAAGAAAGTGCTTTAGATCATTCATCGTTGATATTAGCTGGAAGAGAATAAGGGGCAATATGACCAGCTTGTTGACAGATTTTTGAGCTAACGAATAAATCCTTTATGCCATGCAATGTTCGCTGGCGAGTGCATAATCCATGAGATGTGACAACACATCGCAGTAACACATGAAGATCGCCAAACAAGTTCAACTACAGTTACAAAAGACCCTAAAGTAGTAGAGAAAATAAATACTTCAAAACACCACAGACCTTCAGGATTTGATAACGCATTTGCTTGTAACATCCTTATGTTAGGGTACCAACTCAGTCAACTGTCAGCTAACCTGGAGAATTAAAGGCACATATTCAATCCGGTTACGACTATGTGTTTCTTATTTCCTAACATTCTCCAGTGTGTTTCTGTTACAACAGAAAACAAGTATGTGTTTCAGAGGATCCCTAGGTCTGCTTAAGATGCTATGAGTTATTACAAGACTCTTCGTGAGCAGACTACAATCCTGACAACGAAGTTTCAATATTTCAGGAAGTCATCTGTGAAAGCTAAGCTTCAATCAAATGAATTTTTTATTATTATCAGCTTTATTCAATATTATATTTTTGGTACAATATAGAATTCTCAGAGTAAAGTATTTCAACAAGTTTCCGTTTCTTTCTTCTTGGTCGGTCCTGGCGATAAATATTGAGTGATCGCTTGTTAGATGTTAGCAGTTCACTAAATGAACATCTGAATAATGTGCATTCTTTCCGTTGTACTTCACAGTTAATAGTTCACCGTTGTCTTCTGTTAACGTGACACTATAATTTCGAAAATTTCACTTTAGGACTAGTCACTTTTCTGACCTGAGGCTGTCAATTTTAGAAACCTAAAGACTTAAAAATAGACGCAGTCATTAAGACTCAAGATATGCCAGCACCTAAACAATTGTAGAATTCACAGTGTGTCGTCATTCTAGTGGACAAGCTACACTATTTGTACTCTACCAAGAACCATGAATCAAGAAACCATCCAACTCTTACTTATTCCCACCACAATTATTGATATTAGGTGAAGTGAGTTTTACTAATAATGTCCTGAAAGTGATGTACAGTTGTTTGAAATTACGTTGTGCCGCGGTCATTATATATTTTTGTTGAGGTGATGGCGGGTGATTTTCGAGCTGAGGCCAAGGAACTTGACCAGTGGATTGAACAACTGTATGAATGTAATCAGCTGACAGAAGCACAAGTTAAATCCCTTTGTGAAAAAGTATGTGGGGCTGTGTAGTCATCGGTTGTTGTAGGCAAAGGATATACTCACAAAGGAGTCAAATGTTCAAAATGTACGAAGCCCAGTCACTGTATGTGGTGATGTACATGGTCAGTTCCATGATATGATGGAATTATTTCGCATTGGTGGAAAGTCTCCGAATACCAATTACTTATTCATGGGTGATTATGTTGATCGTGGATACTATTCTGTTGAAACTGTCACTTTACTCGTGGCCATGAAGGTTTTTAACATTATGTTAACACACCTTTTCAGGTTAGATTCAAAGACCGAATAACTATTCTCCGGGGAAACCACGAAAGTCGTCAAATCACACAAGTTTATGGATTTTATGACGAATGCCTTCGCAAATATGGTAATGCTAATGTTTGGAAATACTTCACGGACTTGTTTGATTATCTCCCACTAACTGCACTGGTTGACAATTCAGTAAGCCAACACTACATTATTACTGTTAGATATTTTGCTTACATGGCGGGCTGTCACCCTCGATAGATACTCTCGACCACATTAGGGCTTTGGACAGGATTCAAGAGGTCCCCCATGAGGTGAGTAGCTAATCACACTTTTGTTTTTCTTTGTTCCTTTTCGTGCGAGCGTGGAGACTATAATTTATGGGGGAAACAAACATTTGGGATAACAGGTCTCGGGTTTTGGGCGCTTAATCCATTCAACCATTTGACTTGACAGCGTCTTGACAGCCAGTCAGCAACAACGTAGAACTTCGTAGATGCGCGTGCGCCATCGCACACAATTTTGAACCATGTTATTCAAAGCCTCTAACCATCGGTTGCTGTAGGATCACGGATCCCAACCAGGTAGTCTACACCTACCAAGATGGCCCAGTGCACATGTCAGTGACGTCATGGCACTCTAGCTGATATCAGTTTATGATGAAAAGCTATAAATCCAATCCGTAACCCTAACCATCAACTATGAATCATAATTCAAATTTCTCACGCCTTTATAACCCGATTTAGCCCTAGTAAGGAGGCGGACACTCACAAGGTCACTTCAACGGACCTCAAAGATCCTCCATGGTTTAAAGTCTCACCATGCTGACGATACAGGCCTACAAATTGTTGCGTCCTCACTTATGTGAGAGTTCTTAGGTTTCAAACAGTGGGTCATTGCTTACAACGCTGCTTCAGTTATGTCAGTTTTACCAACTGGTTGATGCCGTAATTTCCCTCTTAGACATACTCTGTCGTGCTCTCCCTACTCCCAACTCAACAAATATTGTACTCTAAGGTGTGGGCTTAAACACCTCGATCCATAGTATCCGTCGTAAAAATGTAAAATCAAAACTCAATATCAATCCACGTAGGATTTTTAAATAAGTTGGGGTCAAACCTTAAAAACCAAATAATGGTCAGTGAAAACTAAGTCATTTCGAGATCCACTTAATTTTTCAGGTGCTCACTGATGACATGGTAGGGCCAAAATCCATTCTTCTCTTTATTAACTGGTTTATTGTTGCTAGCTTAGCGGGGTACGCAGATCTATACTAAATTACCTGACGTTAAATTTCTGCATCAAACTTCTAAATATTAAACTACTATGGTCATGTTTACCAATTACATATATTCTAACTAGGATAGATATTACACATTATAGGTTGATAAACACATCCAGAGGTTAGTTTTGAAGTTGTCTGCGGAATGTGGTTTGGAATCACGGAGGACGTAAACACGTCGCCTAAATTCATGATGAGTAAGCCTATCGTCATGGTATATTCATCAGCTGTCTAAAACTAGGTTGAAAATCAGTAATATGTTGGAGTTCTTAGGTTTTGTAGCTATAAGTAGACAACTGAGTGTTAAGGCATTTTCCTAATATAGTATATATTACAGTTCAGACTAATTTAATAATAATGATTGAAAGTGATCTGAAATTCCTAGTACTTCCTAGTAACTTCATCTTAATATGTCTTTGTAACCCAGAGAACTCATTACTCAGTTCAGGCTTTGTAATTTTGGACTTTTTCACCTAAAAACTAGCCTCATAGTTCATGTGCTCCCTGAGATTGATTAAATATCCCTACAGCATTTGATAACAAGTCACAAGACCATCTCAACCCACATAAACCCTGGGCTTAATTTTTAGACCTTGTTTTCGGTATCCTCATTGTTTACCATTATGTGAACTTTCAAGCTATTTTCCTTTTAAATCAATCTCCAGTTGGTCAAGACGTTTACATTTTTCGGTTGGTTTTCAAGAATCTAATGCCCACCAACCTACTGTAATCTCTTTCTTTACTTGTTCTTTGGGTTTTAATACTGAAAACGGTGTTTGTATGTCTTTCTGTTCTACGTTTGTCGAATGGAGGTCAAACTGTTCTGAATGTGTGCTGCCGTTTATTGTTTATATATATGTATGCAAATCTAATAGTTCAAACTAATAGATTATTCGTTTGTGTATATAATTTTGTTCAGGGTCCAATGTGTGACTTATTGTGGTCTGATCCAGATGACAGAGGTGGTTGGGGCATCAGTCCACGTGGTGCTGGTTATACATTTGGACAGGATATTTCAGAAACGTTTAATCACAGTAATAACTTAACTTTAGTCAGTCGAGCACATCAGTTAGTTATGGAAGGCTTTAACTGGTGTCATGATCGAAATGTTGTCACTATATTCAGTGCTCCGAATTATTGTTATCGATGTGGTAATCAAGCAGCTTTAATGGAACTGGATGATAATCTGAAATATAACTTGTAAGTTATTATCTTGCACATTTTCTCATTTATGTCACTTTGTTTCTTGATAAATTCATTCTAAACGTCTCTATTGTTATCTAAACTTAAAGTTAATTCATCGATAAGATACATTTTATTTGTACTAGTAGTATTGTTTATACTGATATTAACTCAGTCGTTTTAACTTCTGTATACTATGGAAAGTACTTAATGCACTGGAGGACCAAAACATCATAATTCACAATATCGTTTCTGCACTGTGAATTATGGAGGATCAGTAAATATTAAGCCAAGACAGCTGTTTGCCATTTCATGGTTGTATAAGCTATTCACTTCCCTTACAACACCGTTACAACATCAAACAGTGCACCATATGGGAGTCTCTAACTGTCTAGCCCGCAAAAACCGATGGTAGCAATTATTTAATCAAGGTTATAAGAGATATTGCAACTGTTTAGTAATCTGAGGTTCATCGAAGTTCTATGATTCTAGGATATTCAGTTTCACAAAATCAGGGTAGAGGGACCCTTGTCAGTCGCTGAAATAAAGTTGCGACGAAGCTAAATGTAACTCCAATTTGATATAAGCTGTTCTGGATGTCAATCAGTCAGCTACAACATAGGGCCAGACACATATATGCATCGGTCCAAGTTGACACACCTCATTAGCACAAGATGAACACCGAATTCATGAAAGTAGTTGTGTCAATGATAGTGATATATATAAAGATTGTATAAGGGTATAATACAGGAAGAAATAATAAGTTCGTCGAAATAAAGATACAAAGCAATTTTTAATGTCACGGTCTAAGGGAAAATAGAGAGTGTATACATTAACGCCATTGTGACCGATTATGAGCCATGTCACACAGTCTCTAACCATTGGTCACGATAGTCACGCGCACCACAAACAAATAGTCTGCATCTACCAACACAGCTCAGACTAGAAGTCAGTGACTGATGCCACGTTTTGTTTGGCCGCCCTTAACTTCCTTCCAATCATTCCCAAAACCGATCAGCATTGAGCGTCATGGTAGTCGGTGTTCAGGCATACGTAACATGTGATCCAACCATCTCAGTCGATGAAGATTTACAACCTCATTAACTGATTCACTATCATTCTCTAATACTCCGCGTCTAAATTCATTAATATTTACATGGCGATCCCAGCACCGTGATCGATTACTAGTAACTTACGAGAATCTTCTACTCTTAATAGCTACGTTTCACAACCATAAATTAGAACAGAACGGACTGCCGCACTGTATACTCGTCATTTTATTGATAGACGGATACCTTGCCTTCGCCATAGGTGACGTGAGTTGGCAAAAGCCAAACGAGCTTTTCGAATCCATGCAGAGATTTTGTCAGATACCAACCCATTAGGGCTGATCAGACTTCCAAGATAAATGATGTCGACGTGTTCGACTACCTCACTCCCTATACTAAGTTCAGGTGTTGACACTGGCCAGTCCTGAATCATCAACTTACAGTTAGAGGGGAAGAAACACATCCCAAACATCGTGGCATTGTTACTGAGTGCTTCCAAAAGACTGCATTTTATCAGTTTCTTCACGAAACAGGACCATGTCATCTGTGTATTCTAGGTCGATAAGTGTACCTCCTGGTAAGAGATCAATGCCTAGAAACCAAACAACAAGAACTTTTTTCCATCAATATGTCTATGATGAAATTAAATAGAAATAGAGATAATGGAAAGCCTTATCGGACACAGTTTGTGGTTGCAAAATCAGATGACAGTTCGCCATATGCTCTGACTCGACTAGTAGTGTTAGAGTAAAGAGCCTTCACAAGGTTTATGTACATCTGAGGTACGTCTTTCAATGACAAACACTGTCGCAGAGACTCTCAGTCTACAGAGTCATATGCTGCTCTAAAGTCAAGAAAAACTATCATTGTTAGACGCCTCTAACAGCACTCAAGTTCTGGATGTAACTATAAATAAGTTGATCTTGTATATCACAGTTCAAAATAACCCAAATACTTAGATTTCATGCAGTTTTGAATAACGCTGTTAGATTTCTGATCAAATAATTTGTCTTATTCCGAGTTGTTCATCCAGACCATTTGAACTGTGGCGTTTTCAATATTTCGTTAGGTTGACCGTTATCAGCCTGTAAATTTGGGGAAGTCACGTGAAATCTGTGTCAAAAGCCGATGAGACTAAGCGATTCTGTTCATCATTCTATGCGCAGTGTCCTATCGCTGTACTTTCGCTGGTTCCTACGTGTAATTGACTCGAACAACTTGATGCAGCCCTTTCTAGTTAACGGATGAAGCGCAGTTTCACAAGATTCGTGAAAAATCTGCTTGTGCGCAATTTGTTAGGATTTCAACATATAGCAGTAAACTGACGATGTCAAGAAGCTTTATAAAGCTCATAATAGCTAGTATTGCTAACTAATAAACGAATTAGTTTTCAATTGTCGTGCCGTCTTATTAATATGACCAATATTCCTTCCCTCTTGGTCATATTAGTTACAACCTTCATTGGTTTGATAAGTCGACCATAATTTAACAAATCAGTGAAACTACTGAAAATCTAGTTGCTTCCTAAACATGGTTGTTAGAGCCCTACTGTTGCTCATTTTATTATCTCATTGACGAGTTATATGGTAAAGTAGTATTTTGCAAATCGTTCGCATAAAGCTCGCTAGATGTAATCTGTCTGTTATTAAGGTTAGGTAACATCAAATATTGTTACACTATAACTAGCTTGAAATATCTTACTGGGATTCTGTAACTGTAAAGCAGCACCAAGTGGACATTGGGCTGTTGGTTTCATGCAGATTTTTATTCTCTATCACATTTTCTTGCTGGTACTCATAATCATAAACTCGGCTCCATTCCATTTAATAACAGTACTTTCTATTATTTCGTGACAACCAATATCTGATTTTAGATTTATTATTGACTGTATTATATGCCAATTTTTAATAAAAAGAGAGCAAAATATGTATTTTTGTTCTTATATTTAGTTTGCAGTTCGATCCCGCACCACGTAGAGGTGAACCACATGTATCGAGACGTACCCCGGACTACTTCTTATGATTCTCATCCTGTCAAAATTTTTTCAATGTTTTTTTTCACCGGCTTATGAAAGTAGAAGATTGATCAACGATTTAAATAAGTTCATGTTTTATCCGGTTAACATTGGCCTTTGTGAAAATAATTACGTTTTAAAACTATCAACTACTGCTACGGCAACACCAATCTTCTGTTTAAACTTTATTGTCCCACTTTTTTTCTCTTCCTTTGTTTATATCTAACTATATAAACAATAATAATGCCTTGCTAGCCTTTTTACCAGTTTATATAAATATGAGTAGACGTACACATATGAGTTAATCGAGCAAAACAATTAATTGACTACAAATATATATATATATATATATATATAACTCTGTAAATTGGAAATAATAGTTAATTTCTAGTCTTTTGAACGTAGGGAAGTGTATTTTCTAGCTAACAGCAAATCCGTACTACATGATTTGCACTCTTGAATTCATAGTTTGCTTAATCTTTTGAGTCTGTTATACTAACTTTAACTTTGCATAACTGTGTTTAGCTATACACCTAATACTTGGAAACGTATAAAAACAACTACATTATCGTATATACATGCAACTCAGTTGGTGGATTTTTTTTCCTGTTTTCATGTTAACAATCTAATTAATTTCCAATATGTATTAGCGTTTTACTGAAGTTCCTCAACCTATAATATCTTGTTTCTGTTTTTGAATCCATTCACAAAACACTTGGAAAGATTTTCTGCTCTGATACATCGATCCACAATTTGTGGTTATTATCTATCATCCCCATTTCATTGATCACTAGATGTTAACTTTTTACAGCATATGAAGATTTGTAAGATTCGTCACTTGTGTTCTCATCTCATAATCTGTGACACCGTTACTGATAAATATGTTTCCCCGACAATATATTTTTGATGCCTACATCATTTGTTAATATAGAGCTTCTAACAAATCGTTCAATTTAAGCTAGTAGCTTAATTCAAAAGTGTTTGTGGATTTGGGTTTTCGAAAACCTAAGTCTCTCAATTTTATGTTTTTGTTCGCTCGTTACTCCATGTTTAATGGTGCAGACCTACTCGTTTCGATGTGCAGAATCTTAGGATCAGTATACTAAGATTATTCTGAAGACTTGGTTCAGAATCGATCACAATGGCGTTGGTGTATACACTCCATGTCTTCCCTTAAACTAAGAGATTAAAATCGCTTCATATCTTTCTTTCTACGAACTAATTCTTTCTTCCTGTATTATGTCCTTATATGCAATCTCTTTTTTATATATTACCACCATTGACTTAACTACTCTTGTGAATCCGGTGTTCATCTTGCTGGGCTGATGTGGCAACCGGACCGATGCATATATGTGCCTGGTCCTACGTTGTAGCTGACTGACTGAAGATTATTCTGGGTAGATACTGACCAGCTATTTTATCATCGTCTCTTGAGGACATTGCCGTCGTATTGTCAGACAATTAAGTAAACAGTGCCGAGGTTGGATGTGTATTATCAGGTAACTGCAATTCGGTTGATAAGTATGTAAAACCTCAACCGGGGGCTGAGACATGTTTTGCATAGATCTAAGGCTGGTTAGTTCGGGGATTTGGAAGATGTGTGAGAATATCAAGATATAACAATAACCTTTTTTAATGACCAGTAATGTCAGCAGGATAACCTGTCACCGTGCAAAACAAGGAACGGGAGGTCTTATTGCTTGAGCTAGTTAACAGACTAGCAATGTAATCAACAGAACGAAATTCACAATTAACAAGATGAAGCTTCGTTTCGGTCTTTGTTAGTTCCCTCTTTTGTCGGGTGGATTCACTGGTGCTAGTCTCAACAGTCGTAGCTGTCCACTCAATGACTTTCCTCTCAGGTTGATTATCTAGTATATAATATAACGCAATCTGTTATGGTAGAACTTCAAATAACACCATACTCTTATTCACTGTCTCTTTGTCAACAAATTCCAAAGTACTGCATACTTTTTTAAAATGAATTGTGGATCTTTACAGACAGACAGTCGTAAACTCATGTTATGGATGTTGGGCTGTTCCAAAGTCAATACGTTGTAACTGGTGTTTCATACACCCTCAAAATAAAGTCGAATATTTTCATTCATACTATAAGAGCTCAGCTATAAAGTCCTTTATATTAAACAGGGATCAACTTTTCATGAAGGGGTTTTTCTATCCGCTTAAAGGTTGATAACCGTTGGGTTTCCGGTTTGTTGAGACTTCGTAACTACTAAAGAGTTAAATGTTCACATAAGGAGCGACAAATTATACTATATTTCAGCCTGTCAATATCAAACTTTTGTAGATGTTTTGAAAACTAAAAGCAGCAACTCAAGGTCTGAGGGCGAAGTCGTACTGCTGACTGTAGAGGGGTGTGACACCAGTAAGGTGTTTCCTTCGGACAACTAGCATCTGCAGCGATGCTGCCTTCTCACAAGGAAGGAAGGGGCTAGAAAAGGTTAACCCTAAAAGTACCACACCTCACCTTACCTCACGGATTTCTGTCTCCGGCGGTAAGGCCCTTTGAAGGACGGAGCTGACACATTAAAAAGCCCCCACGAAAAAACCGCGCGCAACCGGCCTCAAGCAGTTGTCCCTTGGGCTCTGTGGTCACGCTCTCAGGTCGTTAAGACCAACACTAATCCGACTTCATTTTCAGGTTCCTCAAGAAATACCCTTCCACGGTGTGGGCAGCTGGGAAGTGATAACAGCCCTCATACCCTTCACAGCACACGAGACCAAGTTGGTCACATTCAAATCATTCCTACACCTAATACCTCTCTTATCTCCATGAATAACCCTCCTCACGTCTCTTTATCATCTCGCACCGCTAGGGCAAACGATTTGAGTACGCGAAACGCTATTCCTGGTCTCCTGAAACCACGCTGTAAACTACATGTAGAAGCTTCCAACGTCTGAACACTGTGTCAAATAGGACAACAGGCTTCCTTAGCTAGGACTTTAGAATCCGGCACCATTGATGTGTGCTGCGTCTCCGAAACGCGCATACAGGATCCGAGTAGCGTCATTCATTTGACCTCGCCATGCCAAAATAAAGAACCGACTCGACGCACACTTCGTGTATCTGGAAGCCCTGATTCTGCTTCCCGTGGCCTCGCCGGTGTAGGTATATCATTGAGTCCTATGGCAGAACTAGCTCTCTTAGAGTATCTGCCTATTCTCCCACTGACTGCAGCGCAGATGATGTAAAAGATGAGTTTTACAGAAAGCTTTCCGACCTTCTCCAAAAAGCTAGGCGCTCAGATGTAGTAATAGTGGCCGGTGACTTTAATGCTCAAGTAGGTAAACTAAGCGATAGGGGAAGACACCTAGGTGGATCTTATAGCATCATGGCTCAAAGAACAGATGATGGCGACCGTCTGTTGCAGCTATGCTCAGATAACCGTCTGTTCCTTGCAAATACTAACTTTAAGCATAAGGAAAAACATCTTTTAACATGGCGACCCCCTAATTCGTCCCAACGTTGGGCTCAAGTAGACCACATCGCTATCAGCCACCGATGGAGGGGCTCGGTAGAAGATTGTCGCTCATTCTGGAGCACATGCTTAGATTCAGATCATGCTCTGGTGCGAGCGCGTACTTGTCTGCGTCTTACTGGACCTAGGAAAGACGCTGCAAGGAAACCTCTTAGGGTTCTATCTAATGATAGTCAAGCTAAGAGTATATTTCATAAACAACTAGAAAAACAGTTAGGCAGCCATGTATGTGATGCCCACCCTGAGGCAGCATGGAAAGCTGTGGAAACAGCAGTGACATCTGGCAGTATGGTAAACCACAAGGTTAGGGAGAAACACTGGATCTCAGATGCATCTATCGCACTGAGAGATGCTCGGAAACTCATTCCAGCTGGCTCTGAACCTAACGAAGAGCGGAGTCAGTTTAAGCGCAAGCTGACAAGAAGTCTACGCAATGATCGTGAACAGTGGTGGGTAGCGAAAGCAAGAGAGATGGAAAAGGCAGCGGCAATAGGTAATAGCAGACAATTGTTCAGACTTGTTAAGGAAACCGACTGTTAGCGAAACAATCTCAGAGAAAGATGGACATATTATACATTCTCAATCCAGGAGATTGGATCGATGGGCAGAACACTTTAGGGATCAGTTCAACTGGCCTTCAGCCACACTTCGGTTTCCCACGATCTCCAGTCAACCTGAATGGCAAGTTAATGTAGGTCCTCCGTCCCTTTACGAAGTTGAAAAAGCCATAGGAAATCTGAAACGAGGGAGAGCAGCAGGCCCTGACAGGTTTACTCCTGAGATTTTTAAGGATGGTGGTCCAGTATTAGCAGTGAGATTAACTGAGGTCTTAGGTAGAATTTGGGAACTGGACGTAATCCCATCTGACTGGTCTCAATCACTGATTGTGACAGTCACAGAGGAATCAGTTTGACTAATATAGTGTCTAAAATATTAGCTTCAATAATACTTCGACGCCTAACAAAGCTCGTGAAGAGCAGACTAGAGAAAACCAGGCTGGTTTTCGACCTGGACGTGGTTGTATAGATCAGATATTCACACTACGTCAGGTTCTAGAACACAGACACACATTCAGACGCCCCACAATGGTAGTATTTCTCGACCTTAAGGCGGCATTCGACTCTGTTGATCGTGAGGTTCTATGGCAGTGTTTGTCACTGAAAGGAGTACCAAAGAAGTACATTAACCTTATAAAGGCTCTCTACTCGAACACAACTGGTAGAGTGAGAGCTTATGGCGAACTGTCATCAGAATTGATTACCTCAAGTGGTGTTCGTCAGGGCTGTCCACTCTCCCATTCTTGTTCAACTTTGTGGTCGACGTACTTTTAGAGATAACACTCTCCTCATCTAAATTTCCAGGGGTTGAACTTCTACCAGGAGGTTCACTTGTTGACTTAGAATATGCTGATGACATAGTTTTATTTGGTGAAGACGCTGACAAAATGCAGAGTCTTCTGACCACTCTAAGCAACAATGCAAGCATGTTCGGGATGCGATTCTCCCCTCGAAATGCAAAATGTTGCTTCAGGATTGGGTTACATCGACACCCGAACTAGTGATAGGGAGTGAAGTAGTTGAGTGTGTCGACCGCTTCACTTATCTTGGAAGTCTCATCAGCCCTTGTGGTTTGGTGTGTGACGAAATCTCAGCACGGATACAGAAGGCTCGACTAGCTTTTGCCAACTTGCGTCATTTATGGCGTAGGCGAGATATCCGTCTATCAACCAAAGGACGTGTTTACTGCGCAGCAGTTCGTTCCGTCCTACTTTATGGCAGTGAAACATGGCCGGTAAGAGTAGAGGATATCCGTAGGTTACTAGTATTTGATCATAGGTGTCTTCGAAACATTGCTC